ATGGACTTACAAGTCGAGGAGATTGACAAACGGCCAAAGGTCTCGGGGATCGGGCCAGTCAGCTTGTTGCTTGAAAGCATGCTAGTGTTGCTCAGGGTCAGTCAGGATGCAGGACATCCAAACAATGTATGATGGACTCATCCACTTACAGAGTGTTCAGATACGTGCGGTTGGTCAGGATTTCAATGGAGCCAGTGAACTGGTTGCTGGTGATGTCGCTGTGCAAACGAGACATGATGCTGTGAGTTTCAATCCGGACTGCATACATCCAACCCAGCCAATGGCATGCATCAAACTCACAGATCAGTCAGCTGTGGAGCATCAGGCAGTGCTGAGATATCGGACACAAACTGGTTGTTGGCCAAGTAGCTGTTTGGATGGTCAGCAAGTTGATCGCCTGGATCTCGCAATGGCAAGTGGGCTCACAGTCTGCGCAATTTGGTCAGGGGCTTGAGGGCATCAAGAGGGCCAGAGAGGGCGTTTTCCTGAAGATACCTGCTCATTGCCACGATGCTTGTCAGCTGCAGGTCTCGCTGCTTGCGAATGCGACCAGTTCACAAGCACAACTTACAGGACAAGGAGTGATGTCATGTTGCTGAAGCTGGCTGGCAGAGGACCAGTCAGCTTGTTGTTAAGGAGTAACAACTCTTTCAGATCGGAGAGGTTGCCGAGCGATGCAGGGATGGTGCCATTGAGCCGATTGGAGTAGAGCATCATATTCTGCAGCTTTGAGAGGCTGCCGAACGATGCGGGGATCGTGCCATTCAGTTGGTTGTTGGAAAGGTCCAGCTCCACCAGGTTGGAGAGGCTGCCGAGAGACGTGGGGATCGGACCACTGAACTTGTTCTGAGAGAGGTCCAACTCCACCAGGTTGGAGAGGCTGCCGAGTGAAGCGGGCAAAGGACCCAATAGCCAGTTTCTGGCGAGGTTCAACGTTTCCAGCCCAGTGAGGTTGCCAAGCGAAGCCGGGATGCTGCCATTGAGCTGGTTGTAAGAGAGGTCAAGCACCTTCAGCTTGCTCAGGCCGCCAAGTGACGACGGGACATTGCCCGTCAGACCAGTGGATTGGGAAACTCGACTAAGAGAGGCAGGGTGTGAGGTAAGGCAAAGTGAGGTGTGTGTGAGTGACGGGATTGCAGCAACAGAGATGGGCTGGTGCAACTCACAGCGAAACAAGCTCAGTGAGCGATCCAAGCGACTCTGTCAGCGGGCTGTTCAGATAGACTCCATAGAGCGTGCTGCAGGGATCGACCAAGCAGGTGGCGTTCAAGTGTTGGTCAGCAAGGAGGCGCAGTTGCAAACCAAGGAACGACAACGGCGACTCACATGTTGGCGACTCTGCCGTTGGTGCACTCGACTGCTGTACTGCGTGTCTTGGTAAAGTTGCAGCAGTCGGTAACATTGCCAAAGACCGACGGGAACGCCTGCGCCAGGACAGCGCAGTCTGCAGGCACGCTCATGGTTGTTGAAGACTGGATGAGGAGTATCGATACAGCCTTTTGAGCTTAATGGTCATTTCAGCCAAGCAGCACTGCAAATTTTCGCCACGCACTGCTGCACATGACCAACAGTGCCACATGGAGCACAGACAGCCGACACGTGGGGATATGGCGACATCTGATTGGTGCATCTGGATGTGTGCTCTCCTTCCCCTTCCAGCCTGTCAACGACCAGCAACTCACGAGCCAGGCCTCCTGTGTGTGCTGCCCAGTTGAACATCGTCCTCTGCCAAGAGCTACGATGCAGGGGACAGTGCCCAAGCTGCTGGACCAGTACCATTCTGCTTTATTGGACACAAGCCGAACTCAACGCGTCACATTCCTTCTGTGGATCGCCACGCCTCTGTTCCCCATGCGTCGTTGCAATCATATTGCAGGCATTCATCTTGGCAATGCTCATGCTGCCTCTCTCTTGTGCCGAGGAGCCGCCACACTGGGATCTCTTGTCAAGGGGGGCGGTAACGAGTGGCAGCAACTGTGGCCACGCATGTCGCCGCCTGGCAAGCCCTTACATCCAAGTCGGTTGCACACGACGGGGCAACTGGCTGCTCGGATTGCCGCGTGAGCATCTGCCGTCCTGCATCGAAACGGTCAATGGCAAGCGTTGCAAGTCGGCCATCTCGACGATCGCGGACTGGATCGTCGCCAGTGCTGCCGCCGCCTTTGGAGCCAACAGATGGATCCACGGCATGCTTGCCAACAAGCAGGCGGCCAAGAAGAAATCCAGCTGGAACGGCGCTGCTGGCATTGGCTGCTTGCTGATCCAGTGGAATGGTGCCGCTGTCACGCAGCAGACCCATTCTCATGCAATGCGCTTTCAGAGCGTCAACGGCTGTCTGCTCGATCCTGACGCTGGCTGGACACAGACGCGACGGCAGCCACTTGAGCTTGGGTCCAATGGACGTGTGGTCCCAGAGATAGTATCGTGCTGCGGCTGGTGGCATGTATTGATATGGTGCATTGCGACGCTGCAGAGACGAGGGCGGCGAGTGGATCCAAGGCGGCTGCTGATGCTGTTGCTCGGCTGATGGAGCAGCATGCAGGCCGGTATGCTCTTCTGGATATGGGCGGAACGTGCGAGCGATGGCATGCGGTGCAGCGGATGGTTGCTGCTGTTCATGCTGGTCAAGGGCAGTTGGACACTGGTGGCCTTGAACCTGTTGCGTTTCGGTGATGGGCTCGAGATCCGATGCTGCAGGTGCAGCCATTGACGTACGGGCAGGATGGCTGCTGGCGTGGCTGCTGGCGACTCGAGTGCGGCCAGCCAAGGTGCGCTCGACAATCGGCACTTGGGCCAGGTGGATCTGCATGGCTCGCGACTCGACAGGGCCAGATGGCATGCTGCGCACTGCACACTCGTGGACAGCCGAGTCTTGCTGTGGACGCAGATGCAGCTGGGACTGGGACTGTGCAGTGTGCATGCTGCGTTGTGCCACGGAGGCTGGGACTGGCAGCAGGCTGGCTGGGGCAGGTGGAGGGGCGGCGGCAGGGTGGCCTTGGACTCGGACGTGTGCCGACTGGCCGCGCTGTGTGTGCGGCAGAGGTCGCCGTGCCAGCACTGCATCGGTTGCTGCACCGGCCGAGTCGAGCGGATGCGGCTGTGGGCGGGGCACTGCTGAGCGAGGCTGCGGCTGCGGGTCGCTGGGTCGAGCAGGTTGGCGTTGATGGCGCGGCGAGCCGTGTAGATGCCGCCCACATGAGAGAGCATCAGAAACCGCACGCCTTCCGGGCGTCGCGGGTCAATGACCGGATCGCGACTGACGCTGGCTATCTTCTGCATCTGGAACGCAGTGTGGATGGCGGCCGTGTCGCACTTGCTGGCTGACTTGAGCGTGACAGCCAAGCTGTATGCCTTGAGGCGGGGCTGGGCTGGACGCTTGCTGCCAAGACCGCTGCACAGCGAGCGAGCGAGCAGACCAGCAAAGCCAAGAGGGCTGCAGATGGACGCGGTCGCGTCGAGTGGATCTTGTCTTCACAACCACAAAGCGAGCAGGTCGTTGGAGCGAGTGGCAGCCAAGCCGTCGAGCCAGGACAGCCAGGACAGCCCCAAGAGCAGCCGCCAGCCAAGCGACTCAAGACAGCAGCAGCAGCTGCTGCTGCGACACCACAGCCAAGTGTGCCTCGCTATGTGGTGCCGCCAGCCACCGGCAACCTCGCTTTCGGCAGCAGCCACTGGGACCGCAAGCCCGCCGAGATCCACGCCATGATCCTCAAGCACGCCGGCCCGCTCACTCGCTTCCTGTGCGGACTGCTCGGCGACACGGACACACTCGACAAAGAAACCAAGCGAGCAGTGTGGACCGATGCGTTCAAGATGGACTGGCAGGGCGATCTGGCGCTGCTGCCTGACGTTGACCTGACGGCCGACAACGGGCTGCCCCTCGTACACTCTCGCTCCATGTACGGCCGTCTCTGCAAGCGCTTTCCACAGTACACCGAGACGGAGTGTGCAAGCTCAGACGCAGACAACAACAACTGCAACGACTCGTTCACGGACGATCCGTGCGACAGTCGTTGGCTGCTCCTCATTCCCATGCGGCACGGCTGGTTCGATCTGATCGACTTTACGTATCCGATCACACTCGCTCGCATGGCCATCCGCTTTGGATGTCTCGATCTACTCAAGTATCTCGACAACAAGTACCGCACACTCAAAGGCTGGATGGCCAGGCACGATCCGACAAGCGAGTACTGGCACAGAGCAGTTGACCAGGCAGCCCTATACGGACATCTCGACGTTATCCAGTACTTGTTTGATGCTGGTGTGACGGGATGCACGACTCGCGCCATGGACTGGGCGGCTGAAAACGGCCAACTTCATGTCATCGTCTGGCTCCACGAGAACAGGACAGAAGGATGCACGAAGATGGCGATGGACAGGGCAGCTGAATACGGCCACCTGCATGTCGTCAAGTGGCTCCACGAGATCCGCCAGGAGGAGCTCACGTCTGCCGCCCTGGATGCCGCCACCAGCCGGGGACACGTGGACGCTGTCAAGTACATGCATTCAAAAGGCGTCCGCGCGCCATGGGAAGCCGTCGAGTTTGCAGCCACAGCGGGCAATATCGAGATGCTGCGGTACTTGCTAGATTGCGGATACGCGGTTGAACTCTCAGCACTCGACAACGCCAAGACTTCCGACATCATCGATATCCTCGTTGGCAGTCTCACACTGGACCAGGCACAGGGGTTGCTTCTGGAGGCCAACCAAGGACTTTACAGAAAAGCCACCATCGAGAGGCTGCAATCGTCGAGCAAGTGATGAATGGACAGCCAAGACTCGCTGATTGGAATGAAGATGTGATTGCCACGTCTGTGCGTGGATCCCTCAGACACGGCCACACTTCCGACTCCACAAAAAAGACTGCTGGAACACACCACGTCTCCACACAAGAGAACGCGTCGTGTGCATCCGACCATCATCACACAAAACAAAAAGGAGATCATCCCGTAGTGAACCAGCATGGTCCCGAGCGTTTGTGCTGGTCATGAACAGCAAAATGCGTGCGATGGGGTTCGAACCCATGCATCTTTCGATACCAGAACTTGAGTCTGGCGCCTTGGACCACTCGGCCACACACGCGCATAGAGAGTTTTCCGCCCGTTCGCTTTACGAACCCGCCCGCCTGTCCAAGCATGGAGCACTGTACGTGTCCACCAACAGGGAAAAGAAAACGATACAAGCAACACGGCACCTATAAGAAAAGCATGCTTTTAGTTTGGAACGAGCCGGATGCAATGACAAGAAGAAAAGAAAGGAAAACACGATCCAAAATGCAAGACGTGTGCAAGAATTTAGACGCCACGGATGAACACAAAAGAAACGAGGGTAGGTATGGTGCATGCTCAAGGATGCAAAGACGCAGCCGAGGCAGCCGACTGGCTGCTGAGTGTGCGATGGTGCTGTTGCTGCGCTTCCGCTTCTTGGGCAGGCTGTGGCGGTGGCGAGACTTGTGCCGGCAGTGGCCGGGACACGGCCACGGGTGCTTGCAGCTGCGGTGCACCTGGCATGGCGGTTGCAGGGACGCCTGTTGCAAGCACAGACACCGAGGCCGGTGACGAGGATGACGATGAGGATGGCGCAGATGCCGAGGGCACGCCCGTGACAGACGATGCACACGAGGACGATGCCGACGACTGGTGTGTTTGCTGCTGGACATGGGCCGATGGGCCGGCAGGCACAGGACGCGGGAGCATGGGCCGCTGCAGACCGTCAAATCCAACGGCGTGTGTGCGGGCGGCCTGTGGGGGCGGTGGGATCTGCCCAAAGGGCTGCGGGCTTGAACTTGTCGAGCTGGACGCGCTGCTGCTCACACTGCCGACACTGTTGGAAAGCGCTACTCCTGGTGCAGGTGCAGGTGCAGCAAACCCTTGCTGCGGCCGCTGTTGGAGTTGCGGCTGGGACGGCTGGGAGGGATGGGACGACGGCTGTGTGGATTGGGTCGTCGAGTTCTTGCGCGAGAGCATCTGCTGCATGGTCGGCGCAGAGGCGAATCCAGGACCTTGCATTGTGATGCCAAAGTTGAAGAGATTGCTCTCCTGCAGCTGTCTCAGGCGATCGGCCACGTTGGCGTCGGCGTTGGGAGCTGCAAACACCGACTTGAGCTGCCCAGCAGGGAGGGCCGACTGGACAGAGGCGTGGCCCATGGAAAAGTACAGGATGCTGTTCTGCTGCGACTGCTGTTGTGCCGACTGGGGAGCATGCTGCTGGTGCGGCGGCGGGATGCTGGGCCAGGTCGAGATGGATGCCGGGTGCGAAGAGTGCTGCGCCATGACAGCCGCCGACGCTGGGAGGGGCACAGACACGATCGCAGGCTGCTGTCCAGACACCGGCCCCCACGATGCAGACATGGACGTGGGCAGACCCCCCGCCGCCGCAGACCTGGACAGGGGATCGATCGTCGCGGCATAGGAAGCAGCTGCGGCAGAAACGGCATCAGCCAGGTGCACCAGGTTCGGCGCGCTCGAGCTGGTCTGCAGCAGGGTCGGTGCTGGTGCGGACGGCATGGCCAGGGCGACCGCGTGTGAGGCCGGGATCGGACCAACAGCCGGCACCTCGACGGGGTGACGCTCCGCATCGGCCAGCGGCACGGATGCGTCAACCGCCCATGCAGGCGGGAGCTGGAAGTTGGTGACGCTGGCCGACTTGGTGTGGCGGCTCTCGGTCCGGGGCGGGAATGCGTTTGGCGAGTGGTTGACGGGCATGCTTGGAAGCGTAGCGGGGGCCATGGTTTGGCCAAACGCGTCGTCTGCATGCAGCGGGCCAAACGCCGGAGAGGTGTGGACGGCAGTGACGCCAGCTTGTGCACCGAAGCCAGATGCGGGCTGCGAGACGTCACGGGACCAAGAGGCGTGTGGGGCCGGGGGGAGAGGCGGCGAGGTGCGTGTTTTCGGGAGAGGCAGGGTGAAGTGCTGCGGATTGGCGGATGACTGGGCCGGCGTGTTGGACGAGCGAGCCGAGCGAGGGAACGTCGCGGCACCATCGATGCCGAGCACGGCCGACTCTGGCACGGACGGCATTGGGGACGGGGGCCGCACGGCAGCCGATTGCAGAGACGAGATCGACGACGCAGTCGATGCGGACGACGACGACGAAGCCAACGTCTCCATCATGGCCACAACGGCCGCCGACGTGACGCTCATTCCTCCAGCCTGTACGGGGATGTGCACAGGCGACATGGCGCGCGAGAGCCCAGACGCCTGTGACGGCGGTGGCTCGATCGGCAGACTCTCGGCATCTGCAGACGGATACCGCTGGTGGCCTGGCGCGTCTGCAAGGGTGGCGTCCATGAGCAACACGCTCTTGGACGGTGCAGCCTGGGCAGCGGATGCAGCGGGCTGAGCCGCGATCGGAGCAGCAGATGAGGAAGACGCCGCGACAAACGACGCAGCCAACGCAGCAGACGCGGCGTTGACAGTGACAGAAGGCAGCGTGGAGCTCGAGTCGATCACACCCGAGCGGCTCGAGTCGCTCTTTTGAGAGACGGCGTCGACAGACCGCCTGCGCATGAGCACGCTGCGGATGGCTTCCTCGATGCGGCGGCGGGCAATCTGCTCGTCCTCGGCCTGGATGAGCGACTCGCGCACCATCTCCGAGACCACATCGGTTGCCGTGTCTTCGTTGAGGTTGAACGGGAACTTGATGTCCTGGGTGACATTGCCATTGCGGTACGTCATCTTGAGATTGACGACGCTGGGTTCTGGGAATCCAAACGCTTCGACCTGGCAGGTGGCAAGGACGCCAGACGGCTGCTGCCCTGGAGGAAACACGCTTGGCCGCTCGAGAATCAAAAACGTGTGGTTCTCGGCATCGACTGTGGTTGCCGAGGACGCGGTGGATGTGGACTGGGGGCCGGGCTGGATGATCTGGGGGATTGCGATTCTGGCCGGCTGCTGTGGAGCAGGCAGCGGCTGAGACAATGCGCGAGCCGGCACCGATGCCGGCGCCAGCGCCAGCGCCGGAACAGACACAGCCGACGACGATCGCGACGTTTGGGCAGACCCGCTGCCAGCAGACGCAGAGTCGGACGGGACGTGGAGCATGGCGGCACTCGAAGCCGACGCCTGCGCATAGGACTGCGTTGGCGGCACTGACGGCGGTGGCGGCGACGGTGTCGGTTCGCGGCCCAAGTGCGACGGAGAGGGAGATCTGCGCGAGTCAAACGAGAGCGTCTGCCGCATGCGGGTTGGCGACTCTGTCATGTGCTCGACATTGGTCAACGGCAGCTGCTTGGCGCCCGTGGGAGGCTTTGCGTTGAGCTGCAACGGATTCGAGGGGAGTGGCTGGCGAACTGGCTGCTGCTGTTGTTGCTGTTGCTGTTGCTTCTCTGCAAAAGCCGGCTCAGAAAGCGAGCTCTGGAGGGTGTTGCCAAAGGACGAGTCTTGCATGCTGTCCATGGAGCTGGACGAGCCATTCGAGCCAAACTTGGCCGGCTGCGGCGGCGGCGCAAGGGCAGCCGACGTGATGAAGGGATGCATGAGCAGCTCGGCGGCCGACGGACGCTTGTTCGGGTTGGACTCTATGCACAGCTCGATAAACTTGCGGGTCTCTTCGTCCGAGATCTTGTACAAGGCGGCCGGCTTGACGCCCGTGGACACCTTTTTGTAGATCTGCGCCTGGTTGGTGCACTCTGAGTAGGGGTATTCTTTGGACACGATTTCGAGCAGGACCTGTGTGCAGGGGCATGGGCAGTGTGTAAGGAGAAGCGAGCACGAGCACGAGCACGAGCGCGGCAGCAGAGTGGGCGAGAGCGTTTTCCAGACGCACCATGCCAAAGGCGTAAACGTCGACCTTTTCGTCGTATTTCTCGTCGTAGAGCTCCGGCGCCATAAACTCGGGAGTGCTGCACGGGGCGGAGAAGAGGCAGTGAGCAGGGCAGAAATAAGGAAAATAAAGGAGGCAAGGCATGTGCAGGGATATGCAGGGATACAAAGCACAAGAGCACAAAGCACAAGAGCACAAAGCACAAGCACGCACCCAAGGACCGACGAGAGGTGCTCTCTGCGCTTGACGGCGGCCAGGCCCAGGTCGCCAATCTTTGCCTGGCCGTTGTTGCCGTTGATGAAGATGTTTTCGGACTTGAGGTCTCTGTGGATGATGGGCGGGTCGCGGGTGTGCAGGTAGAGGAGGCCGGACAGGATCTGGCGGGCCCAGTTGCGCAGGATCTTTGGCCTGATCTGGCCCTTTGTCTTGCGGCTGTACGACTTGAGCGTGCCCGACGTCATGAGCTCGGTGATGAAGTAGATGCGGTCCTTGCCGTTGGGGCCCTTGACGACCCACGAGTGGAAAAAGTTCTAAAGTCGTTCGTGAGTGAGTGAGACAGCCGTGAGACAAGCGTGAGACAGCCGTGAGACAGACATGCGTGAGACAGACAAGCGTGAGACACACACACACACACGAGACAAGAGAGACAAGAGAGACGCACAATGATATTGTCGTTGCGCAGGCCCTCGAGCAGCTGGATCTCGAAAAAGACGCGCTGCACGTCCTTCTTGGACAGGTGGTCGAGGCGCAGCTGGTTCCAGGCGACCTCGACGCCCTCGTCCTGGTCAAAGGCCTTGAAGACCTCCTTGTAGGCGCCCTTGCCCAGCGACTGGGCGTAGCGCTCGAAGCGGCCGGTGGGGTCCGTCTGGCCCACACACACACACGCGCAGTGGATGAGACAGTGTGTGAGACAGTGGGATGGGGCAGTGGATGAGACAGTGGATGAGACGGTGTGAGACAGCCAGTGTCGCGAGATGTGCATGCATGCACAGTCAATGCATATCCACTGCACATCCACAATAGATGACGCAAGTGCCTCTTGCCGATAGCGGCAAGACTCGATGCACAGGCACAAGCAGCCAGGCAAGGCAAGCACGGGAGCCACTTTACAAATTACGACACCAGAGAGACAGGCAGGCAGCCTCTTGGGCAGCCTCTTGGGCAGCCTCTTGGGCTCTGCACGCACAGTCACACACAGTCATACATGCACAGACAGCCACAGCCACGCATCTGCACACACCTCGACTACTCGGTGGTCGTCGTCATCGTCGTCGTCATCGTTGAGCTGATGCACGTTGATGGCCGGCCCTTGCTGCTGC